GATTTCCTATCTTTTGATTCTTTTCTTTGTTTCGATTCTTGTAAACTTTATATTGATAGCAATGATATAGTATAAGTAATCGATAGTGCTTTACAAATCGATTAAACTTTATATAGTTGAGGGTTATCTGTAAAAACCTTAAAATTGAAAATGCTTTGAATATAGTTTATAGGGGAGCTACGAAAACTTATCTAATTTAATAAAGATTTTCTTTGTCTTAGAAATTTTCTTATTATCCTTTTTATTTCTTCAACAGTTTTCCGATCATTCATACCTATAATCTGATGAGTATAATGATTATTGGATTATTGTTTTATTTAATACCAGTTTTTATAATATTTAATTTGTTTCGCTTACTAGTTCCGTTATTTTATGACATCTCAGCTTTCAATCTTATTTCCTTTCGATTTTGATATTTTTTCACTTATTTATAGTTCATATAATATATTCTGTTCTAATAGATTAGTATATATTACTAAGCACAGATCGATTATCTTTCTTTTCGATTACTGTTTTCATATGATTTTGATTTCGATCTTCTATATCGACAATAGCTACGCTGGCAATCGAGGGGGAGGGAGAGTATATAAAGAACTGGAGGGTTTGTAGGGACCCGAAGGCATTAAGTGTAAGGAGCTGGAGGTCCTAAAGGGAATTGAAGGCGATCCGAAATTATATATAAAGGAGGAGCGGATGATTATGGTAATGGGAGAATGTGTATTACTATATTTAGATAGGAGATGATGGAATTATCTTTTATACTTTTTATAGTAAAGATTAGCAAGACTAAAATAATTAAGGGTATTATTATTGTCACGGGATCACTTCTGGGAGTATTCAGAAGCTTTACCGCTGAGCTAAACGCCCAAAAGACTAGGAGGTAGAACTGGAAGTTCTACCTTACTCTCACATATATAGCAGGACAGGACAGGACAGGACAGAAAGGGCTTAGTGTCACCCCGTGACAATTATTAGTCTTATATCTCCTTTGGATATATTCAAGAGGGAGAGAAAGAATTGTAGGATATATTTTATAAGGGAGTGCTCTGGTGTTTTATTATATAGGAGAGGTATATAATATCTCCTATATCTTTGTAGAGGAGAGCAAGGATTAAGGGATTCTATATAATTAGGGTGATTATATAGAAGACTGTATCCCAGCTTCTCTATTAAGAGAAAAGAGTTGTAAAGGTATAGGCTTTATAGATCAATAGGTATTAATATCACTAGTATAATCTTTATACTTTTAGAGAAGCGTTTACATTAGATATTGGGTAATCCTAAAGGAAAGGTTTTTCTTTAAAAATTGATTAAAAATATTGGTTTCTGGAAGAATGTGTGAAATCTGATTTATTGATTTTATAGTGGTTTTGATAATTACAATCTCAAAACACTTTCTAACATCCATTAAAATCAACTTACTAACTCCATGTCACGAGAGAATTAGCCTATATAAACCCAATTAGCTTAATGCTATCGGTGATATCACTTTTAGCGTGATAGTTATGAGCCCGGTATGCGTTTATAGCGCAGTGGCACAATTCTTCACTTTACCGTACTCTCTTGTAGTGGTTTTCTGTGGGCCCACTTATAAGAGGGTATTTCAACAGAACCACATTAGTCATCTGATCTTGGCCTATTAGAGCTAATGTGAGGACTCTGCTCTGTTGCCCCACTATTTTCCGCTCAGCCTATTAGATGTATCCAGGGAGAACCTAATACTAGTTGTATCCAATCAGAAGAGAACCTAGATTTGGCATCATATGGAAATAGAAGGAGATCTGCGTATGACTCAATGAGGCTAGTACAGAGATTACTGCCTATACCCAGCTAGTCAGCAATCTCGGGGGTGTGTCACGAGAGAATTAGCCTATATAAACCCAATTAGCTTAATGCTATCGGTGATATCACTTTTAGCGTGATACTCCAAAATATTTGTTAGCGATTCTCAAGATTTATTAAATAAGAATAATCAAATACTATATATATATCTATACAATATAAATCATACTGTTTAGCTTAATTAAAATCAATTATAGCCCTGACTTATAATATAATGCCCCATAGTTTTCGATAGACTATATAGCTTCAGATATACGATATCAGTATGAGGGAGTATTAGAAAAGGTACTTATACCATATATCACGCTATACTGTATCTGGATTAGCCTATATGTGACTCTATCGAGTCCACACATATATATCGTATCTCTATGTAGAACTTAATAATATTAAGGCTTTTCCACCAACTCATATATGATCTTCTAACAAGAAAACTATATGAACAAGAGTATTTACTTTAAAGGAATGACTTCAATATAATGATTACTATATTAAAGGTATTAAGCGAATGCGAAAGAGACTAGCTCTTTAAATAGTGTCTATATAAGGCCTACTATTTTCCCACTTAGCTAGCTCTTTAGATAGAATACAATTAGACATTTAGAACCTACGAATACGTGAGTGCTACGTCTTTCATATCCTTCTCGAATTAATAAAAACTATAAAGTAGAAAACTATAAAGTAGATAATTTCTAATTATTATTTATATATATAATAAATAGATATCTAGCTAGATAGATAGATAGATAGAACTAAATCTAGATAGATATTCATTTTTATTTAATTTAATATTTCTAATTTCTAATTTCTAACTTGTTTGAGTTGATTTAATATCTATCTATTTATCTCCTCGTTTATTGATTTATCGATTTTTTTGATTTAATATACTTATTTTTTATATATTTATATAAGTATTACATATATATTCTATATATGAAGAAGGTATATGTATCTGAAAGGAATAGATAAATAAAATAATAATCCCTCCCCTTCCTCTCCTCCTCTCCTCCTCCTCTCTTCAAACAGAATACTCACACCCCATCCCATTCCATCCATCTCTCTACCAGTACTTCGTCCAAATCTATACTCCGTAGATACAGTAGATAGATGAATGAATGATTTAACAAGTATATACATACGCTACTAAACTTCCATCTAAGGACGAGTAAACTAAATTCTAAGCTCTACGATATTTATTTATATATATTTCTGTTTCTGTAAGAAATCTACAAGGTATCTCGAGACCATTCACTCACATATATTCCTGCAAAGATCAGATAAATCCTGCTAAATAAACTACTTGTACCCACCCACCCTGAGCTACTAATCTATCCATCCATCCCTTCCCCTACAATTTCCCGTCCCCCTCCAAAAAAAAAAAAAAAAACCCCCCCGGGAAAGAAAAATGAAAGTCAGGGTGAGCCCCAACTCGCAGAATGCGGCTTCTGTGGATCGAACACAGTGCCTCCAGATTAATCGTAGAAACCGAAGTGCACTTCAGTCTGGCGCTCTCCCAAGTGAGCTAAAGCCGCTTGGGTGTGTTGTTTGTTGATTGGTAAATGGGGAGAATTTAAGATTATATTTCTGTGGGTGTGGAAGGGGTGGGAATGGAATTGAGTGGTGGGTGGTGGGTTGTGATTGGTGGGATTTGGAGTGGAAAGTGGGGGTTGGGGAACTGGAAGGGGGGTGCTTGGATTGGATGGGAAGGGATTGGATGTCAGTATTCACTATCTATCGATTGATCGATGACTATAAATAAATAAGTGTCATGCAGATAATCTAGCTAATATACATTTGCATAGTATATCGTATCATCACTCAAATTTCAAAAGTATATCCACCAGGTGATCACATAAGTTGCCTAATATCAGACTACTCACATAACCAAAAAAAAATCTAAAACCAGCCCCCGCGATTACATGGCTAGATAAAGTCTTCGGAATTTCGTTACATATATCGTCTCATCTGTTGCGAGTTTCTTTTGATACCTACCTAGGTATTGATTATAGAGCAAATTTTCGCTCGGAATCAGGACGGTTGAGTTTTGAATATCTGGTTCGTTTTTGTCTCGCGATGTATATCATGGGAGCGTGACAGGAAGGGGGGGGAGTTAATAGTCCATGAAAAGAGTATGGGAATGTTAGGAAGCTGTCAAACTCTATCTAGGGAAATTGTTTCATTTAGATCGTTAAAGTACGCTTTGATTCGCAATGCTCATAGTGTATGTATGCTGTCATAGATATAGGATAGAGTAGGCAAACATTCATCTGGATCTTAATTTCCATGCGAGCACTTGTCGTGAGAGTTCTTCTGGATGTAATTAGAGAGAGGACTCGAGACTTTTCATCGTTAGATATTATTTGTGCATTTGTGTATGCTTTGGGTAATATGAGGCATTTTAATCTTGGGTTGCAACGGGTTCAACAGAGCAGACAGTGACTGGGAATTGAATGAAAGCTTCAAAAGTTTCTCCGAAGAAATTGAAAGAATTCGCACTTGCGAATCCGAAGATATATGGAGAATTCACGAATGTGCCATCAGAGTTGCTCAAATTGACTCATTCTATCTCAAAGTGCGCATTAAAGTTAAATGCCATATTTGCACTACTCACAGATTTGGTGCATCAATTCAACTCAAGGAAGCCTCCCTAGAAACAAGAAGACAACACGGTTTACAGCTATTTATTTTGGTAAATACGATCTTTCATACACAGGAGATAATCATAGAATGAGGTTCATTTTGAATTATAATTGTCTTTGTCTGATTTGAGTAGGTAGGCTTGATGACCTGGGAACTATAGGGGAACGAACGACTTTATGTTGAGTCCGTTTTTCGGTGTTGGAAGTCCATTCTGTCTTTGCATTTTCTCATCTGCGAAAGGATAGTTCTAATGATTTTTTATTTTACTTATTTTTTGTGCTGAGATGCATGCAAATTTTGTTATATCTTGTTTTCTCGTTTTTGAAAGACGTACTCCCACCGATAAATATCAAAAATTTTGATGTCAAAAAGGCGAGGAAGGTATGAACGAAAAGTTTCATTCTAGGGGACCTCCAACAAAATCTCTTTGGATCAGTACCCGTGGAAACTACAGGCCGTCCAGAGACCCCCAATCAAAAGCCTACCAATTCCTTCCATTCGGCATAACTAGTCATCATTTATTGTGACCAGCGCAGTCGCCTATGCAAATTCAACTTATATTTCAATGAATCGACGGGAGGAGCCCATAATTGCATCAAATCTGTGGTTTCGAGTCGTTCATCCTCTGATAAATGGTGCCAAAGATAATCTTTCCTTCCACCAGACCGAGGAAATTTGAAGAAAAGCCCACCTGCTAATTTCAACGAGTTACGAATCTTCCTTTGCCTCTTGGTTAAGGTGCCAAATTCAAACTCTTTTTTGAGACGTTTTGTATTTTTGACCGTTGTCATAACACTCATCGCAGCGCGGATTACCGAGAAAATATCATCGTCCATCCAGTTCATCTTTTTTGCCAGTGCAGAAGGATGCTGTAGTCTATATAGATCGGCTGTGTTGAAGTATTTGTACCCGGCTAATCCACTCCAATCTTTTAACAAATGGTGGAGTTGGAGTTCAATATTCATTTGGTGAGACGAAACAGATTGCTCAGAGTCTGTGTGTAGATTTCAAATTGGGGCTTTCAGTGAAGTCTCGGTGATCTGTTTCGAGAAAAGTGAGTAGAACACGTGATAAGTGAGTCCAAGGAGAACAATTGAGCTTGGTGGTAGATTATCTGCAATGAGGTTGATGATGTCCAAGGGGAGATCTATCAGATGAAGGCTGGCTTCTGAAAGGATGTTAGTCATTTCTTACATCGTAACCATGGTTTTAAATGCTCACCTCGAGAGACATGTCGAGATAGTTCCCTCTTTCTGTTCTCGCCAGTCTTCCCTATTTTGTCCTCGTCGTTGGCACTTTTCTTTTCCATATTTTCCTTCATATTAACATCCATTCGAAAAGCTTTGTAAATTGAGTAAAAGAGAGATACTTAAAATAACCGTTGTTAATCGATTAAAGTCTAAACTCTTACGGTTTCAATCGAAAACGGGACTTTGTTATATGGGAGAAGTATAGTTGAGTTTACTCTGACTCAGACTTGTGCTGATTAGAAAGCAATATTTGAGGATATAAGGGGCAGTGTAGGCAATAGTATTTCCCGTATTTCGTATACGGGTTAGTTTAGTGGTGCGTATCGAATTTTTTCGAAATGCGTACGTATGTGGTATAGAATTCAATACCACTGAAAGTATTCAATATCATTTAGTTATTCAATACTATTAGCAATATATACTGAAATACTGGAATCCAATATAAATAATACATTCCTATCCAAATTAGGCTAGAAATAAGGGATTCCCATTTAATTTGAAATAAGGAATGGAGTTATATTACCTAATTAGGATAGGAATGTTTATTTTATATTGGATTCCAGTATTTCAGTATATTGCTAGTATTCTTTAGGCATATGAATATGTACGAGAGTGGTATAACCTCCTTTCTATACGTACTAGCTGCAATATCAATATGCTAATACGCGCCACAGTTTCACTGTTGTATACTATTGCCTACACTGATAAGGGGTTACAAAACCGTACGCGATCATAAGCGAGAGGTATAGTAAGGAACACATTTGCTCAATGTGTATACGGTGGTATCTGGGAAGATGATACGGCATGTTTAATGATAATTAACAATCTATCTCGATATAGGTGGAATTGGATAATGATTCTTACAAATCAAGATGTTTGATCTCTAATTATAGGTTTTGATGTATTGGATATATATTTTATTATGGCGTTTGATATTTCGGACTATAGTCCAAAAACATAAGGGTTTGAATATCCTGAAACAGTTGGAAATTTGAAAATAGTTTAATGTTTCGATTAAATTCAACATCTCAGATAATCTGAATATTCTAATTCGTTTAGGAATTTTGATGATCTTCATTGTTAAACTACAATCCGGGCTATTGAACACTCTATACTTTATACACTGTAAAACTTATCAGGACTGAATCTCAAAGATGTGATATTGAAGAAAATCTGATGTGGAATAGCTACCGAACTCTTTCAAATTGTGAAATAGTATCGAAATCACTCAGATATCACATCGCCACGTATTGATATTCGGTTTATGATCTCGAAGATCGTCTTACTAGGTCATGACACATATCTATAGAGCAAACAAGACCACTACGTCGAAAGATAAACCGTGACTGTGGGAAAGTTATTTGATTCTCCAATCGATATATCCCCCATCTCGATACTACATCATACTAGTGACCACTCGCTATTTTACCTAGATTTCTTGTATAAATTGCATTCTTATCTCAAGATCTTCTGGCCTGAGTTGATATCACATTCGGTGTTGAGCCAGGAAATCGATATCAAAATAATAGTGAATTCTGCACAATAATCATGTTTGCTAAATGGAAACATTCTGACAATTCGGGGATACGGCTTGTATATAGTCGCGTTACGGTGCGCTTTGCGCCAACTCCCCACATTCTGTCCCATACACTTTATCATACGGCTAAAATGTTGAAGATACGCCATGATATTGAGGTAACTATATAAGCATCAAAAGTATCGCTCCTAGAATCGACTTTCTTCTTCTTCTTTTTTTCTATAAAATTATAGAAGTCGAACATCCTGCGACTGAAAATCAGTGCTGATATTCAAAGTCTCAACACCAAACCGTCACCCCCAAGAATTACTTCACCATCCCGTCATTCAGACTCACTTTACTATCAATTTTTCCCCCTAAACCAGTCACACATCACCATCAAATATGATTAAACTCAACAAGAAAGTTACAAAGGCATTGCCAATCAATCGGGCAACTCATGATGGAGAATATGCGGCTCTACATTGTATGACTCTCAGTGAAAAGTTGGATTTCAAGAGAACGCTGAATCAGGAGAAGATAACATTAAGTACGAAGCTCAACGTGCAAAGTGGATCCAAGCCCAAAACTCGTAAGTACCAAAGCATTTAGATTTATCACGTAGCATACTAACTTATATTTTTTAGAGTTTGGAAATACCATCAGCAACTCCCACATCACAAGATTGCCACAGGAGGTACTCCTTCGAATCGCGAGCAACTTAGACTTCCATAGAAGCCAGAACATAGTACCATTAGCGCTGACTTGTCGAAGCTTTTACCTTCTCTTCAGCGACGATATCAAGCGTGTAAATCTCAAGCAGTTGATATGCCCTTGTACGAACAACGATCTCCCACAACATGATATGGATCATGGTCACATGCCCAAGTGCCGACCACGCCCACTTTGGTCTTGCATAGAGGATTGGACCGGTCTTGAAGGATATCTATATGCTTCTGACAGACATGATCACTGCTGCCCACGACAATCAAAACTCAAAGACTGTTATTATTGGTCTCCTCGGGATCGCCTTCATCTGCCCTGGCCGATTGAAACTAGAGGGCAAACTACAATTCGAATCGAGAATCAAGAAGAGGCTGCCAGATCTCTTTGCCATGCTTTCTCAGTTGGACTTTTCATCAAGGTTTCCGCGCTGTGCGATACGAAAACAGATTTCTTCATCGGCCGAGCAAAGACATGTCACTACGCGGTCCCAAGTCTCAAAAGAATACAAGGCGATTTAGATCGACAAGCGAGGCACTGCTGGGGGAAAGAGATGATGTTGGATTATTCTGAGTGGAGGGGGATGATTGGGTTTTAATCAGGGGTGATTTCAACTTGCATCGTTCTACGGAAACAAATTGTTGGAAATAGATTATTGAATCTGGGGACTTTATAGGAATTGGGGCAATACAATGGTTCAACATCATGATCGCTAAATAGAAAATCTTTACACAAATGATTCAGGGCAAATACAGACAAATTTTATCCAATCTTGCAAATAATTGAAAACCCAAAAATTGTAGTGATGTAACTTTCAATCTTGCCCTAAAATCCACGTGATCAATTCTCCAGTCAAACTGTAACCTGTTTCATCATGGAAGTGGCTTTAAGTGACATACTTGGGGGTAGGCTATTCTAGCTCAGGGTATCTAAAAATTTGAACTATAACTCACTGATAAAAGTATTTGAATACCACCTATCTAAGAGAAATGAACTTTGAAGACAGTTCAATAATTCAATCAAATTCAATATCTCAAATGATTTGAGTATCCTAATTAAATTAAGGGTTTAATAATCTTCATCCTTGGATTGTAGAATATTGAATATTCTGTGAATCTAGTCTTTCCAAACAACTTTCTTCAATGTAATCGTCGGGTAATAAGCTTAGCTCTCGACGATTGATCCTCAACAAAAATCACTATTTGAAATTCTAATGTTTGACGAGAATTTGGTTTATTGGCATGACTAAATAGTTTGATGTTGGAAAAGCTTGTAAAGATAAGCAAGAGTCGTTATGCATCGAAGTGTATTTAAATTTTATGTGGAAAGCTTTAGGCAAACTATTAATTAAAGTTTTGCACCTTAGAATGCCGGCCTGAAACAAACTTTTGTCCATTTTAGGGGAAATTCTGTAAGTTTTCTTTTCTACCATTTCCGTGATTTTTCGAACTCCGTAAATTGCGTATGATCTCCCATTCATTGGGCAACTTTGACGCGTACACTCTCCATCAATCTCCATCAATATCCAGCCATGGTATAGAAGTTGAACTTGAAAATTGGCTTCTGACAGACTAGTCCAAGCTATTCGGTTGTCAAGTGGGGTTGATAATCAATGACTCTTACGTCGCTGAATGTTAGTGAAGTACGGCTGTCTAGAAGTTTTACGGCTAGGCTAGCAGTATGATTCATACAGTTGTAATGTCTAATCACGAAAAGAGACTAGCTGTATTACAGTACCCATCTTCTTATAAAGTGCATGCGAACACACCTCCACAGAAGGAGATTCAACCTACTCTTCGAAATATCCACATCCGCACCACTGAATAATTTTTCAAACTCACAATTTGAATCAACGAAAGATTCGAATTCATCGTCACTATCAAGTTTAAATTCTTGAAAAGTTTCATAATGCCATCAGGAAAGAAAGATCACGACTTGATTCCAATGGCGCTTCCCAAACCCGCTGAATCTCTACAAGAATATCATGTCGAGCTCAGTTCCCAAATCTCTGGTAATTTTCTTCTCAATTATGTTGCTCTAATTCCTGTTCAGCTATGCTAACTCATCTCTAGCTATCGAAAACTCTACGCAGCAGGTTACAAACCACGAAAAGAAGTCTATAATTGTTGTTCTACCCACCGAGATCATTGAAAACGTCATGGGGCATCTTGGCCCCACATTTGGCGTAGTGTTTGGCCTTACTTGTCATGATGTATATGATGAGTACAAGCGTCAGTACACACATTCAGATGCCCTACTTCTGGAAACCCTTCTATGGGATAAAGACTCAAAGGAAGACGTTCAGCACCCACTATTTCGACCATCCGCGCGACTTCATGAACTACTTGGTAAATGGATGGGAAGAGGCGATACCACAAAATACTTCTACTTTCGAGATCTAGCTCTTGGATCATCCGACCCCTTGATGTACTGCGTCACACCAGGATGCGACGTTGGCAAGTTTCTGCCCCGTGACATTTATGGCGAGGAAGCTGATCCTTCTGGTCACGCTTTAAGACCGTTGCTTCTGGCATGGTGCACCTACGTTGAAATTCAGAGAGGATGGCTACAGTTCCGTGGAGATGATGAGTCTCCGCACTATCCTTCTCCATTTAACATGGGTGGAAAAGCATGGTTTAGTGAGATTCGTAGAATTGTGAATGTATACAAGAACAGAGAACCAGAACATATATTCTTATACATCATCAGAATAGCTATCGGTGTAGCTAATAAGAAGTATAGCAAACAGTCTTTAGTCATTAAAGCGAGAAGAAAGCAATTACAGGAACAATAGAAAAGACTGCGAGGGTAGTGGGCTTTGTATCATCCAGATCAATGGTATGCCTGAAACTACTACATCAATGCAAAGTATTGTAAATGGTAGTCAAAGGGTCTCAGGGAGTAATTCATAATTAATAATAATTTTGTTACATTATAGTGATTTTGATTAGCTATATTTCATAGTTATATTATATCATCAAGAAATATATAAGTGAAAGTGGGGATAATACCGATCAGGGGGGCGTGCTACGTGTGTCCTCTCGCCCCCAAGCCGGCCCCTTCGAGTTTCAGGCCCTGTGTGCATTGCACACGTCATGTATTAGTTAGGGTCACGAGTGATAGAATCGGGGAGATCTCATGACTAGACAGCAAACCTGATCATTAATTCGGCCTAGTATTGTGTCGAAAACCCAAGTAGTCTTATATTGGAAATTAAATTCTTCACTCTGCTTCATTATATACTAAACTACTCTTCAACATTGGGTGACTTTTGTGAATAGTAATCTTCTTCAATGTTATCACTCTAATAATAATGTTTTGAAATTAGTAGGTCTTACTTTAGATCACGCGCTGTACTTCGCTTCGCGTAGGTTTTGGTTTATAGCTATCTAAGAATTCATTCTGCAAATCCAAACGAAACATTCAGTGAATGTGAAAATTGATGTATATCGGTAAGTCGAGAGCCAATAATCTTCTATGGTATTTGCTTCTCGGTTAACTTTTGTTTGGTTTTACACCCTCAGATGACATCGGGTTTGTCTGTAAGAGTCATTCTAGGCCTTCTTAAAGAATCAAAAGAAAACTTGTTTTATGTGAGGGTCTTGATATATGATAATTTTCATTCTTATTGCTCAATATTCATGAACAAAAATCTTGTTCGAGTTCGTTGTAGGTATCATCGAGTTTTTCTTGATTTATAAAATTCTTGATGTCAAGATGTGATGAGTTTCAGTTCTAGCTTTATGCTGAGATGCAAAATGAGAGTGAGCACTCATGGGATAAAAATCGTGGGGGCATATATCTTAAAGATGGAAATGAGCCCTGATAATATAATCATGGAAAACTTTTCATGAGTGATATATCCGTAATGTGAACTGAAACCTAAAGCTAGAGGATATCTCGGCTAAAAAAGTCTATCAAATTTTCAGCCCTTATGACGCTTTAGGCGTATTGAGAGCTTGTTCCTGGATTAGGACTGGGGATCGATCGTTAATTCGAGTTGCAACGTGAATTCATACGCATTAATTCGAAATTTTGTATTGATCAAGCAATTGAAGACGACATGCGTCTTTCAAAGATCCACACCAATTCTAAGGTTGTAATCTTCAAAAAGACTTCAGGGAATGCTGTTCCCCTTTTTTCTTTAGAAACTAAATCCTCGAAATTGCCTCTTTGAGAAACCCTCCCCCAGGTGTAATTATAATAGGCGATCTACAGTAGGATGTTATTTCAATGTGTACTAAATCACTGAAAACTCGATTTATTTTACTATTTGTTCTAAAAAGCCATCACAGAAACCTTATTTCTAAAGATCGACAGGCTATGATTCTTTGAAGTGAGGATTTAAGTAATATAAATAGAATCAGGGAGTAGAGCACAAGGTCAGGAGAAAAAGATGACAACAATTAGCTGTATTGTCATTCCTTCATTCCTTGATTCTTTTTCTCCTTCTCAATGAAATTAAACACATCAGTACCACCACCAAAATAAATCCAATTCATATCAACCTGCAAGCTATGTATGTAGCATTATTGGCATACAGTCTCCTGGTAGTTGATCATATGCGATGGATCGTTCAACAAAAACCGGATAGGATTCTGCCCGTCAACACATCCGTCAACTGCTTTCAGTTTTTACATCAATGACCGTTCAATTTTTCGAAAGATGGAACCAATGCGATTAATATTATGTTCTGGGTGAGCAGAATTGAACTCACCATTTTGGGACGTCTTTGCTATACAAACGGATATTTCTCGAGCAGATCTTTACTTGTGGATGAGCTAAGTAGACTCTCAGGGCTGGGAGCTTATCCTGCATTTCAAGGTACGTTTCATGAGCAGTAATTACTAGGGCTCTCACAGTGTTACTGCAATCACCCCATGAAGGTATAGAATGATATGGTATCAAATGGATGAGCTGAGGATACGGTGGTAAGTTTCCAAGCATGCTTTTTCACGATTGACTCGTGAATCATGGATACAATTCTGCCGTACACAAACATCCATCTGCTTATATAGGGTACCTCCCGACTCTATAATTTTCCCCTTCATCTTCCATCTCGGCACAAGAATCGGAATTCATCAAACCCACCCCAAGTAAAATCTCCGCACCAGCATCATCTCAATTTTCGACGCTAGCACATTGACTCAAAGATAACAAGTCTATAATATCATAGCTTCGTCATCTGGTTGATTTATATCATGGGCTCCCAATATCGAACGAAAAGCTTTCCAGCTCAAAGTTTGGAAAGGACAAGAATGTACTCAATCTTTTGTCTAGATCTCGAGCTACGAAACAATCGGGTAAGTGGATTGGCGTAAGATTATTCATGATCACTAGCTAATAACATACCAATAGATTCGTACGAAATGGAAATGAAGCGAGAAATTCATCGATTACTAGATTCAATGTACGATGCAACTCCTAGCCAGTATATCAAACGTGAGTTCTTTATGAAGGAGTTCCTAGCAATCGGTTCATACAAAGAGATTCAAGATCTAATTCTTGCGGATTTGTCCCTGATACGATATAGCCAATGGAGAGATATGTCGAATTTTTAATTCCAGACGGCGAGGAAACCAAAGCCTCTTAAATCAAGGATTTGGTGCTTTTGAACTCCATTCATATCATCAAGTCAAAATTTCATAGGGGAATTGAGCAAAGAGGGCCTGGAAACGAGTGCAGCGGATGATATGCGCTTATTATTAGTATGGCAGTCAAGGCAGGGCAAAGAAGATTGAAAAGTAGCCAATTTTAAATTTTGTGGAAATTATAACACAGAGAATTATAAAACGCTCGAAGCAATGAATAGTGATGAAATTTTTTTATCATTGACGAATGGAACTCGGCAGAAACCTTATTTTGGTCTCTTTAAGGGATGTGCCTCTGTATTAAGGACATACTCGTCTAAGCTAATCAAATCTGGATCAGCAAAAATAAGATAGAAGTATTTGAGCGTTTCAGCCATCCAAAAAGATTCCATTCTGTCGGCCTTGGGAGGATTCTCTGAGACGGTACAGTCGTCGAGAGCAGCATGTGCAATCTCGGTGATTGTATGTTTAATAATATTGTTGAACATCGTCCAAGCTTGTTCTCGCAACTTAGGATCACCAGTGATGCGATAAAGTATAAAAACGGATTCGATTGCCTCGGGTCTATTGAAAGTTAGACACGTCATGACAATGGAATGTGAGAAGTCTTGCCTAAGAATATAACGTCCATCATCGAACTTCGTGACTCCAGCTACCAGTCGGTGCTGTTGTATCTTTTCATGCACAGTTTCGTTGCCTTCGGTGTCTTTATCTATACCTTCGAGCCACTTTTGCTCGTCCCAGGGACAGTAACTTTCGTTCTCACATGGAACTGTATGCATCTTCTCAGGCATGATCCCAAGGGGCATATTTTCATAAGCCCAGAGACATCCATCCGTGAGTTTTCTTGCCAATTCTAAATCCTGTTCATTTTCGAATATCTTCGCACCGATGGCAACCATTCCTCCTGCAAAGCAGCCCAGATGTTGTGCTTCTCCATCTGTTTTAAGTTCCGTGACTAGTGTCTTTCCATCACTATCCACGTTACCGGGCAAGCGAACATCCTCACCATTTTTTGTCATCGGGCGGTAGAATATATTGCGTTTCATTGCAATCAATGCGAACTCATAAATCCTCCTATATTGCTGAGTAGCTCCGCCAAGTAGTAGATGTTGCTTTTGAAATTAGCATAAAATAGTAGAAATCTTCTCGAAGATGATCCAAGCTTACCTTTGGTAGATACTCGTATAACGAATCAGCCATGCCGCCAATAGTGAAACCTCCATATTCCACGAAGTTCTTGTCTTTCGCGTTTACAACCACCGGCCACATTCCTGGTAATTTAGATATAGGTTGCTGGTTGTCAAATATATTCATGATGCGCTGCACAGCATCATAGTATCGGGGATCACCTGTAATCTGGCCAAGACGTGTGAACTCTAGAGTCAACGAGCCAATCTCAGATTCCAGAACATTGTCTTCGGCTTCCTGCGGAGCACCAGTGGCAGCAACATGGTAATACCATCGAAGAATGGGTAAATGATTGGGCGTATCGAAGGATTTGTACAGCATCTCTCCCATCTCCGACGCTTTCTGTAGCAAAACTGGATACTTTCCATCACTTAACTCATAAGCGGAGAGAAAACCGCCCAAGTACCGGATAGTAGTTTCAAAGACGTTAATTTGCTCAAGAGCGCATGTACTGAAATCAATTTCTTGAATAGCTTCGACGGCTAATTTGAATTCCGAATGCATCCCCATGATCCAAAGAGTATCTAGAGAAAGAATTAGTTGAATGACATAGAAGTCTGAATGCTGTGTACTGACCGAGAGTATCGACCAAGCTCGCGGCCCACCCCCCGAAGGGATCCATTGATCCACCGGACAAAGGCATTACCTCATCTTTCAACCATGCATGGCTAGTATAGCCATTCCACGCATGTGTGAAATTACTCTTGACGGCCTCAAGCCTAGCTTGCCGTATTGACTTTTCGGCTTGAGTTTCTTTCTCAAAGCGATGTTGGATTCTCGGTATGGTTGTGGCCGGATTCGTTGGAAGAGGTATAAAATCGGTAACAGGAAAGCTATGTTTGACCTCGGACCATCTAAATTTATTTCCTTTCCCATCTGAAGCCGACTGAACTATCGGTTGAGTCCGATCGTATGATTCTTGATAGCGTTTAATCGCGGGTCTTTGGTAGATAAGAAGGAGAAGAAAAATCGCGACAACGAGGGTCAATACCTTCCATCTGAAGGCCATAACTGTTAGTGAACTACAATCCCGCAAAGAATTGTTTTAATTTCGAATGGAATTGAAGAAACACAATGTTGGTAAAGAGTGAAATCTAAAGAACGTCTAGAAAATTAAGAGCGCCAGTCTTCACAAAAATAGAGTACAGGTTAAATGAGGGTTGAATTGATTGGACGAGACTTTCTCGAAGGGTTCAATGGCCAATATTCAGAAGCAAGAAGTACTATGAGCGGTAAACAGTGAACTTGGGGCGAGAGGTGGCAGTGTTCTATTTTTCTATTTTTCTGTTTCAGGGGTGGGGTTTCATTCTGTAAGCGCCCTCAAATAATCACCTGCCCCACCCCCCCTAGATTAAATGAAGGACATTGATTGGCCAATCGTTGAATGCTTCGCGAACTGTTTTCTAGTCCATTCGCTATCCAATCAATAACTATCATGGGCCAAGTTAGTAATAATGGAACCGTATTCACTGACCATATATGTTAAGCTTCGAAATTTTACCAACATGTTGGTACTGGGAAAATGTTGGTATCAACTTGGTGTTGATTAAAGTGTAAAATACTTCAGTCTTATTAATATAATTGATTATATTATTCGTTTTGATTATTATTAATTATAGGAAGCTAGTACTTGATATAGTAGAAGTGTAAGTGTTAGTGTTAGTGTTAGTACAATACGGTGCTCTCTTTAGATTATATGATTGATATTCTGATACTGGCAATTCTTAAATTGAATGTGATTATATGCCTAAGCTCATTATTCAATTTTAAATATAGTGTTCTATTCTTGCTTTCTAGCTTTCATTTTATTATTCTTTTTCTATCCAATATATTATTTTAATAACTATTTTATTGATATCAATCAAATCTTTTAAAGTTTAATATGCACCGTTTTTAGTTATGGTGTTCGCAGGATTCGACTTCCTATCAATTCATTTAATCTCCCCGATTTTCTTATTCTTGTAGTATTGTTATACAGTTATAATATCGATTAGAAAGCGCTTTTCCGTGTTAGTGCTGAGTTTAGTTAATAAGTTATATAGTGACTTAAAATCTGTATATAGTATTAATAGTATCTGCTTTTTAGGCTTAAGAATAGTATTAATAATATTCTTAATAGCAATATCTATATCGAAATCTAGAACTAGTGTATATAGTTCAGAAGTTAGTATATTTCTAGTAATTCTCTTACATTTAATTAATGTCCAATGGATGATATTAGTATTACTATATTTATCTACTAAATATATGATATAGCTAATTTATAAAGATAAATCAGTATTATTAATGAAGAATGTATTGATAAAGATAACTAATTTAATAAAATCTATATTAAAAGGTATAAAGATTAATTCTTTTCTGTAACGACAACAGGTTCACGACATGATAGTAAATAAATCAATTATCGATACTAGAGAATAACAAACTATTATACAAAGAATGAACCTGTAAAAAGCTTTTATAAATCTGAAGGGGACCAGAAGAGAACCAAGAGGGAACCAAAAGCGAAACGAGATTTGATCTGCCAGGTAGGGCAAATGGATGACTAATCTAGGCTTGAGGCTAGATCGTTATATCACCCCCTCTTTGAGAAACAATTTGCTTTCAAGTTTATTCTTATTCTTTCTTTTGCTTTTTTATCTCTAAAAATCTAGGCTCCTTTTTCACTACTACTGTTTCCTCTATCTTCCTTATTGCCTTTTGCTTTCTTAAAAATATAATTGGCAACTTATTCTTTTTTTTCTCATTATCATCATCCTCCTTATCATTAAAATATTAATTAAAGTATTGTATACTTATTGCAAAAGGTTTACTGTAATTACACAAATCATTCGATTGTGATATAAGATATTGTTTATTATCTTTAAAGTATACTGCCCATCTTCCCTTTCTTCTTCTTCATCGAACTAGGAACTGGTTATTCAATATAGTTCATTATCTTACTATTCGTTATAGATACTCTCAAATAATATATACATACTATACTTTTGTGGGATACGATGACTCTCACCTGTACGTAGTATATCCTACAAACCTTCGATTGTGTGATTGAAGAGCTAAGTAAAGTTAGTTAGAACTGGGTGATAATTGTATACTAATCGGAGACTATACTGGAAGCGAAGGTATGCGTAGTTGATCATTAAAAGGTGATTGCGAAAATACTCGGAACAGAGAATTATCAGTAAAACGGAGATGAAAACTATTTGATAATGAAAGAGAGATAAAAGTGGGATTAATATAAAACCATACTTTTACGAATCTGTATAGGAAGCAGAACTAGAGTATATTGTGGTAGAGCATTTGCAAAGCAGAACTAGTTCTTGAAATAACAGATAATAAAGCTTTTATAATATAGTTAAATCTAACTAAAGCTTGTATTGGAAGTAGGGCTAATATTCTTAACTTAATGAATGAAAATCGATAAAACATTTCTAAAGTATTAGTGTGTAGAGTTTTCATAACCCAATAATATATATAATCTATAGATATATTAGATCAGATATTTATAAATGATGAGGGGAGTAATAGGAAGTATATAAAGGCTAGGATAATATCTACTGAGGCCGGCAAAAGCATATATAGAATAGGAGGAGGGACGTTTTTAGTACTTTACCTTTAAGTACACAGAAATAGCATAACAGCAGAGAAACTCCAATATAGAAAAAATACTTTTAGCAAGTTATACTCAACAATACTCGATTGGTATTACAACAACGGAGGATTTCAGGTAAAGGCTAATCTTACAATATATATATGCAACACGCTTTTAGTGTTTTATT